GGCTTTCAGAGGGATTTTATTTGGTGTACAAATTCGTTGCGTATCGACGGTAGACAGGAGCGGTACGGCGGTTGGACTATTTACCGAAAGTGGTGAAGGTGCGGTGGTACTTGAACTGGATGGACTGTGTACAAGGGATGGAGTTGAGGGGCTGCTTAACAGCGAAGAGGTTGGAGTTGGAGGGAAATTCATCCACCAAGTACGATTCGGTAAAAACGATGACGGTGATGCCATGGTACTCGTCAGAAATTGCGGTACATAGTCCAGGCTAGATGAATCGGTAGTATACGGAACTGTCGCTATCAGTGGAGTATGCTCATACGCTGCCTACAAAAATTCACTACATTTATTCGATAAAAATTCAAGCCATTCATGAGGCTTCACGTTCAAGAAGGATAAGTATGAGTTACCTACAAAATACAATATATTACTGAGAACGCGAAACTCTACATCCTCACATGTAGCAGTTTCACTGGCACTTTTCTTTAATTATGATAATTTTTATATTCGCATCGACAAACACGTGGCACTAATTCGTTAGCATTACCGGCTTCTTCACATGTTTTAGTTTCCAAACCGTTTACACATTTACAGTAACAAGTATTCCCCAACTGCGAACTTTGACGTGACTGTACGCATGAACGCAAGTATACGTGATAACTGAATTTGAAATCTTTAACTTACACATGCATAGAGAATATATGAAACATTTTTATCAACATGCACTAGTTTCGACAGCTTTGCGTTTTTACATCAATACAAATGATTAATACGTTTCTTCACAATAAAAACAATTTTTTCAGCTCTTTTATACTGCTGTGATTGCCACCCAGTTTTTCCTGTTTAAATGCATTTTGTCAAAATGTTTCGGTACAAAGTCATTAATTTCACAAGTTTTTACCACATTCATTCCGAAACAGAGCAAACGTGAATCGCAAATGTGAATCGAAAGGTATAAATCATCGAAACTGTTAATTCTAGCTTCTTACATCACTCACAAGCAATGTACCTGTGAATAGGTAGGTGCGCAGGAATTGGCAAGTAGAATTTGTGGCGATATGCTTGATGATTGCCTTGTTGGTTGTTGTATTGGATTGGCATAAGCGTTGAAATTCGTCTCAAACTCCTTGGGAATATATGGTGATAGCGGTGCTTGGATGCTCGGAACCGTTGTTACGTTTTCAACTTCGCAAGGCAGTGGTTCTGGTGGATCTGAAGCAGTGTATACGAATTAATGGACAGAAACATTTCTTACCATTAAAAATATTTTCAACATTTTTTTAGTTCTTTTAACATTAGAATATTTTATTTATCTTACTGCAACAGCAAAAACGAATTTCTGGATCTAGCAAACTGACTTCTAAGGTATTAATTTTAGGTTGAAAATTCCCTTGAAATTCCATTCGGTTCTCAAAATCACTGTCAATTTATATCACTATTAAGCAGTGCGCTATCAACATAGCAGAACCCAGGAAGACCTGCTGAGCAGAAGGGGCAGTGAGGCTTCTGGCGTAGCGACGACCGGGAGAGAGGGAAGGAAGTGGGACTTTCGGTGGGGTGATGACCAGGACAGGGGGAGAGGGGAAGGGGGCGGGGAGGCAACCGGGGTACTGAAGAGTCTAAAGTAAATTGGCAAAAACATCCGTCGTTTCGAGATGTATTTGGTGCATGCTGACCAACATCAGATTTCTGATTAAGAGGATTATTAAGAAAAGTAAATAAAACCGCTAAGAACGCTAAAATTGCCAGCTCGGCGCTCTGATGTGACCCGAAAAATGGTAGATTTCATATTAAGCAGCCTCAATTTTTGATTTCTGAAAAAGTTGAAATCCTAGAAAATGCTCACCAAACGAGGCCATAATTTCCTCGATACTCGGCTGAAGTGATAAGAGGCCCGGCTGCATCACATCAGCATTACATCCCAGTGCTAAATGAAAGCTTGCTGAAACTATTCAAAAATATAGAAAAAAGAATGAGACGATGTTTTCCCCTTTTTCTGTTTAATCCGAAACCAAATTCTGAATTTTCAAAGTTGTAAAAAAAAAATTCAACACTCACTCATTTCTCGAGGATTTGGAAATGTGTACGGTTGCATAAGGCTAG